CCGCCCTTCAGCTCCTAACCCACCCTGTCTTGCACCCCAGGCCACTCAGGCGCCCCACGATTCTACACCGGCATTGTGTGACTGTTCTAACACACACACACATACACCTACAGAGAGTCGCATTCACACACACACACACACACACTTGTGCGGGCGGGCACATACACACGCGCGCCGAGTTAATTCGCGTGGCACAACACTTGACAGGCACCCTATGGTTTTCGAATTGCCGCATTAGAGCGCACTTAGCACGGCGGACCTTATGCTCCCAAGGCCGTCCCTCAGCCGCCACCTGGACCGGCGAAGTCTAGCAGCGCGGCTGGGCTCTCATCAAATTACAACTCACTCTTTATACCATTTTTGTCTCATTTTTTTAAATACTTTTTTAATGACTGTTATGCCAAATACCGATTTCCTCCCTTTGTTCCCAAGTTTCTCACGTAAAATTCCCCAACAGTGCAACATTTTGCGTGCTAAAACATAAAAACAATGACCAAGTTCCACCAGGGGTACTTTTCCTCGACGAAAGGAAAGGGTGTGCGTGCAATGTCATTGCCGTCCTTACTAATTTAGGGTGGATAGAGCGTGGAAAAGGCCTGGGCTGGGAGGGCTAATGTCGGTTGTCAGGTTACCCGGTTTTCTCTGTACAATAATTCCTACAGCGGTGTTTAGTTTACGCTGGAATGAGTAGTCTCAGGTGGTGTGACGAGTCGCTCTGTGAAGCCCGATCTCTGGCAATTAGTGCCAGCCCTGTGTAAGTGGTTCTCTCTTTTGCCACTGTCCTCCTTCCAGCTCATTTTCTCTCCCTCTTCGTCTTTCTACGTCTCCCGCTCTTCTCGTGCCCTTCCCCTCTCTCTCTCCGAGGGAGGGCTTAGACCCCTATAGGGGGAGTACTTATTAAAACCTGAGCTCACGGAAGTATTTTTACCCTAGGCCATAATTTCCTCCTCAGATCTACTCACCCTCCTCCCCCACCCCCTCCCCTGGCCGAGCCCTAGCAGGAGGGGTCCCGTGTGTATAATCAGTGCAGCTATGGCGGTCACGGCTTAAGGCCAATCTGAACAGCCCTCGCACCTGAGACCCGACGGGGGGACAGCTGCTCCAGTACAGGGTCAACGAAAAACCATTGGCCTGGGAGGAGACTGTCTCTTAATCGAGCAAGGCGCCAAGAGGGAAAACCCCGAGTATATTGTTTCCTTTTGTCATTACTTTGTACTTATATTCGTTTCGGGAAGTGCTATTACACTGTCTTTCTACAGATGATTTTGATAATAATGAGAAGGTGCATTTGGCTGCTCTCAGCCGCGCCAGGCAAATGACGGTCTTATTGCCTGAAGTTGCCTGGCGCCATATTCTTGAACTTATTATATATATCTACAGTTGATGTACGTTTTCCTTCTTCGCCCCGTCTCCTTCGCTTCCAATGCTCCTCCCTCTGCACGTGTCACTTTCCTGTAATTCTTCACTGCTTGAGGTCGCCCTGCCAGCGTCCACCTGGAGGGAACTCGTGTAGCTGATAAGCGTGCTTCCGGGCCGGGGTAACGCAGGACAACAGGGACTGTCTGTGGCCTCAATTAATATCTTTCGGGTGGGTTAATTTCAGCCCCCAAGGCCGGCCTGTCTCCTTCCGTGTCCTGCTTCCTCGCGGTGTATGTGGGACACACGGCTCACTATTAATCTACGCGGTGCGTTAAAACCGCACCCGATCCCTGCGGTCGGGGAGAGGATTGATAACGGGGTGAAAAATAAAAATAAAACAAGGACAAGCGGTGTGACGGATGGTGTGAGCGCTTGCGCGGCGCTGGCGGTGACAGCGGGCCGCGATCAGCTGATTAATAAAAATAATGTTGTGTTTTGCTCGTGCCACCCACGGTCATTACCAAGTCGATGACCAGGATGTGATTTTTTGAAATTATACCGCGACTAACAATCGGCTAATTCTTTATAACGGCAGAAGCGCGCCTCTTTGCGTCAAAAGCATTTGCCATGTGTGTGTAAGAGTAATGCGGCAAACCCAAATGATGGCAAATGTATTATTTGTGTTCTTTGTCAATGGACACTATATTTTGCAGCGGCTGCATTTAGGAGGCGCGCATTGTTATTGATGATAACAGATTTGTGAGCTCTGGCTTTGGCCTTGGTGTTGTCATCGGTTTTTGCATCTAGTGCTTTAGGCGAGATCACCTGACGCGCGCCCCACTTGATTCTTTTCTTCTCCCTCCACACTCTAAATGTCAAGGACAATTTTTGTAACTAGCACCGGACTTCTGCGTGCATAACTGAATTCAGATACAATATTGTGACTTGCTGGTCACTGTATGTGTGTTGGTAGTTACAATATTGTATCTGAGCTAGTTATGCACACAGAAGTCCGGTGCTAGTTACAAAAATTGTCCTTGGACATTTAGAGTGCAATCTGGCTCTCTCCCTTTCTCCCCACGCTCTTTCTTGTCCCGCTTTGCGTCAACTCTCTCTCTCTTTCCTCTCTCAGTAACACTCCAGCTTAATCTCCGAGCGCTGCCTCCCTGGTACTCGCTGGTACTCGGCCGATAAAGTAACGCGTGTTAAGCCGAGTTTTCTCCTTTTCTGGGGTGGGGAGTGACGAACTTTGTTAGCGGTTCAGAGATCGCCGTTGTCGCGGCCATGTCGTTGGTCTTGAAAGCGTGTGAGGGAGAGCGGAAGAGAGCGAGAGAGAGGAAGTGGGGAGGGGAGGGGGTAGTGACTTTTCAATCCACTTTGCGCAGACCAACGCCGTGCGCAGACCGCCACAGCCACAGTCCGTCCCGACGGGCTGCAGCGCTGCGCACCGAAACCATGTACACATTCTACAAAACCTTCATTTTTATTTCAAAATTCACAATAAATAAACATCTCATCTTATCAAATCTGAGTCTTTCTCACTGTTAATAAATTTCGTCATTTCACGATGATAATATGGCACGAATAGTTCGTAATTGAAAGTCACAAGTATTATTGGTCAATGTTGATTCCGATCTGTTCGTAGCGTTATAAAACAAACTATTTGTAACATCACGATTTTAATAGTGTCAATTGACATCAGGATGTTAGAATGTTTGTTTCAAGAATTCTTGTGTCTAGGATCGTTCTTTTAGGACAACAACCGAGTTACAAACTGTTCGTCACTTTACGAATGTATTGATTAAGTTACTTTAAGACAACGAAGAGTTTGTGTAGAAATATTAACATGACATTTTTCGTGAAATTACCATATAATTTCCAACAGTGCTTTTAAAGTTAATTTGTGCGGTTTCTAACAAAATGCATTTTTCAGGGAGGTGAAAGCCGAGTGAAAATATCGTGTTTAGGCCGGTTATTTCTATTTAAGTTAGCGTCCGTCAAATGAGCGTTTTTTTCCACCGTGGATCCCTTCCCATCCCTCTATCCCTTGCAGGCCCCTCCCTCCCCTCACTGCCACCGCCACGCCGCCACTGGAACGGCAGCGCGGAGAGCAAAAGTTCTCTCGGGCAAAGTTTCATCAAGTGTCCGTGAAGCGACGATTATAACCTATCGCCCGTAAAACACCCTTTAGTGAGGCCGGGGGGATCAGATCCGGCTTTGTTCGAGGTGTGGGCTCAGGACTGCAAGCTGTAGATTTACTTTACCTAAAACTTCGGATGTGGTTTTTTGCTTTTTTTCGTTTTTAATTATTTAAGTGCTTGCCTTTTGTTATATTTTAGACAGTCGTAAAGAAACCCACAAGGTGTTCCTGAGGCATTCCGAGGCGACCCTGCGATGAACGCCTTGGGCGGCGCCTGCCTTTGGTATCGACCAGGCGGGAGTGCCTGCTCCCCCTCCTGACTCCGCTCCACCCCGTTCCACCTCGCCCTACCCCGCCCCACCCCTTCTCGCCCTTACACCTGTTGCACACACCACCGCCTGCTGATGCTGCTGGCTGATGGTTAAGATGACTGTATGCCAAATATTTTGCAATAAGAGTAACCACCTCGCGGTATGATGTAGTTGGGCAAAAGGTTCTATGAGGAAGTATTAGTGAGAGTCTCAAGATTTTCTAGAGCAGACTGAGTCCCATCACGCTATGCAAAACAGAGACAGAAAACAATAACGCGTTGCTTCAGAATCAGTTCACAGCGAAGGCCGAAGGGTCCCGAGATCCCCCACTTTCAAAGTTGGTGTACAATTGCGCTTTTATCTGCCAGTATTCGAGACACTGTTAAAAATATTTTGTGATTTTCTAACACTTTTTCGATGTGAATTAACTGTGAAATCACATCACTTTTCTGTAATCAGAAATAGTGCATTTTGCTATCTCAATTTGGAATAGTTCTCCACCAATCGTAATACTTTCTAAAGTTAAACAATTTTTGACAACGAATAAGAGTTGTGCCAAACGAGCCTTCATATGGAGATGTAATAAACTGTTAAATCTTATGTTGCAGGGCGACGCACGCGGTGTGGGGGCTGCAGCCGCTGTGGTTCCACGTGGTGAATGTGGCGCTGCACCTGCTGGCCTCGCTGCTCTTCACTCGGGTCTGCGTCTCTGTGGCCGGGCTGAGGTCGGGCTTCGCCACGCTGGCAGGCCTGCTATTCGCCGCGCATCCCATTCACACAGAAGCGGTAAGTTTGAAATAGCGAAAGGGACAATCTTTGTACGTAAGTGAGATTTAATGCTACTTTGTGTGAAAAGAGAGGTATAGTTTACACATGGATATACTTTTTTCCTATTGTTTCTTTTTAAGTGAGATGTTGCCTTTAAGGAATAATTGTATCAAACTCCTAACTCTTACCACGCGTCCCATTCACGAAATCGTCCAACAACTGTGTCTACCTACAACCGTTTTGTGTTGAACCCTTGCAAGTATTCAATAACAAGTTTGGTTGACCGGTGTTACTTCCTAAACTGCCATTCTTTACTCGCGCACGTATGTATTCTCGCCTATTCCTCACTTCAATAGAAGTACGCCACATTTTTATGAATATTCGAAGTTGAAATGAGCATGGACAATGCTAAGCACTTGAATCCATTATGCTTATGCGATGAACTTCCCTAGTAACACAAAACTGTCGCGCATAGTGTAATTGTTTTCAACCGTCCAATTATTGTGACGATAACGAAAATCCAAAAGTGATGGATTTTTCAGAGTCAGACGATTGTCACTGGTCTATCAAATTTAAAACATCTAACATCTTGTTGTATTGATATCGATTCCTGGTCAAATCCACTACAGTGGTTTTTCGCTTCCATTCTGATAGCTAGCCGATAAAGATTCCGAGGAAAAAAGATAGTTTAGCAATAGAATCATTTTTCTCATTTCGTATATCGCACCGATAGTCCGTATCTTTTTTCTACTGTTGTCCGACAATCGTAAGACAATTCTGTGCTACTAGGGTTTGTTAATTTACCTGTAAACCTTTTGCCTCGGACTTTACCTCAAGCTCTGCGAGATTTCGGACAAGCTCGTTTGGTTTTTCAGCGTGCAACCTTTCTTAACCGTGCTCTTGAATTGGCGTTTATGGCTTGTCGTTTTGGGGCCGCCCTTGGGTGGTTGGTGGTCGGGGGGCTGCCCCCCATCCGAGTAGAGTACCACCACCACCAGCGGCCTGCCACGGCTAACAGGTTTGACTCTCTCCCTTTTATGGGTCGTGAACGCATCGGGCTGATCACTGTCAGTCGCGCGGCCCACCGCAGCAGGCCCCGCCTGCCCAGGGGGCTCCGCCCCGCCCCACCACGTCGCGCCCTACTTCGGCCTTTAGCCCTGGCCCATTGGACGCCCTGGCCAATTTCGGGAAAGACCCATTACTGGTCCCCATTCCAGGCCGTGCCGCGCCACGCCGCCGGGGTGTCGCCGTAGTTCTGGTTAGCGTCCTGGGCGTCCCGCTCTATCGCTTTGGTTGTTCGATCTATACTGCTGTGATTGTGTATCTTGCAGTAGAAGCTGATCGTTCCAGTTAGGATTCTGAACTTACCGACAAAATGACAAATGCAGCTCGCGAAATTATTTACTTTTGATCTGGCCGTGTTTGGGCCTCCGAAAGCCCTCGCTTTCCTCCCAAGTCGTCTTTTTTATTTCTTTTTGCCTTGAAAGTCTTTTGGCCTAGCGGGCCGTTCGCCATTATCAGTCTGTGCCAACGACAAATTGTACAAAATTGCTCACCATAAAATTTTATCGACCACGCCTCTCTTGGGCTCGCTCGGGCCCCCTCTCTCCTCGGCAGCCTGCTCGCTCTGATGCCACTTCTAATTTGCAGTCGCCGGCTGATGCCAAGTCCTTTGTGATAAGGCGGCGTGTGTCGAGTAAACATGCCGGCCGTACCGTCTGGCTGTGCCGGCTGTGCCGGCTGTGCCGGTTGTGCTGGCTGTGCTGACTGGTCGTGCTGGCCACGCGCCGTAAGTATAGAGCGGCCGCCTGTAATGGGTGGTGAATCGCGTGGTCAGACCGACCAGGTGGTTAGGGGATGAGCTTTGTCGGCCCCGCCGCCGCCACACGGCGCAGCACAGCGCAGCACAGGCAATTGTCCTCGGCTTCGTGACTGGGCGCAATCGAACTGATATGTATTATAGTTATCGCTGCGCCCTATGTCGCGCCTAATTTTCTTCGAACAAAGGCATAGTTCATCGTTTCGCACCAGGGAACAGGATAAGAATGTAGTGCTTGTGCGCGCACTTGTGCAGGATTGCATCGTCACTAGTCTACCTCTCGAGGCGTTGGAGTTTTCCTGGAATACCGCTGGCGGTCATCCCCTGCAAACACGGACCGTTCCGCGCGGATTGTCGACTTATTCTAATTCGGAACAACAGTTCTTATTTTCTTGGGCTTGCGCTCGGGGCGCGGCCCCGAGGTGTGCTGGGTCTGCACCTGGAACAACAAATCCTTTGTACACGGACGACCCCTACCCCCCGGCCTTGCTGTAAACATCTCCATCTCCACCCTCTGACACGCCGGGTGGAAGGCGCAGTTGCGCAGGGCACGGTGAAAAAGAACACGTTCATATTGCAATTGCAGGTAGAAATATGTGTCCGCAAGGAGCTAACCCCACCCCATAGTCACACGAAGCGACAAAATATAGTGCCACCAGTTTGGAAGAATATACGAATGAATAGGAGGGCCGAAAGGAGAGCTCTTCATGACATATGAATTGTTGCTTTTCTCTTTTCTTCGACGAAACCTAAATTTTAGAACGTATCTCAGCTGGACGACATATATACAATCCAGCGAACAGATGTACGAGAAACAACCCTGACCCTCCGAGGTTCCCCTTCAGTCGCTGCTGCTGTTGCAAGATTCAGATATTTCGTCGCTCACACAAAGCGGACCGGCAGACAAAGTTTATCTTAGTTCCCAGCAGCCTGGTCTCCCGCCCGCTCCCCGCTTGTGCGCTGCTCTTGTCCTTCCTCTTCTCTTTCCTCTGACCATCGAAAAGCTGCATTAATTCTAGGATCCTTTATTTCAACGGCACCAATGTCCTTATCCGGGTCGGGACGACTTGTTCACGAGTTTCCGGGTGCCAATCCAAGCGGAAGGGCAGAGAACCATGATGGTACTTTGTTATTACAAAGCGACCGACCCTTTTTTTACCGCGGTAAAATTATCTCGGGTGGAATGCACACTCAAGTGAGTTGCAGTGCCATACACTATGATCCCTTTCACTAATTACATTTTTCCTCATCCCCGTAAATCTCGAACAAAGAAACAGGGAAAAATCCTAAGCCTTTTCCTCGTAATCTGTCGTTTCGAAACAATCGCCCATAGCACGCGGACGCGAAAGCCGAAACTTTCTTCTTTGAGTGTACTTTGCAGCGGCAAAGGAAAATGGGAGGAAGGAACAAGGAGACGAACAGCGCTTCTGAGCGGACCTTGGGCTTATGAGTGGTAAGCTCTCATCACACTGCACAAAGACTTTGTTCAAATTCTTTTCACTGCGTATGGAAAGTAAGGTTTATCCTCTGCCGCTGCTGCGCCTCTAACAAGGGTTGCCTCATTAGAGACGGGGTGCGGGAAATAATTTATGACAGAAGGATGGAGGAGGGGGAAAGCGATTCTTGTTCATTCTGTGAGTGAGAGACAGAACGAAGGGGAAGAGGGGAAAAGAGCGAGAAAAATTAGTCATTAAAAGTTGGGGTTGGTCTTCCTTTCGCGGACCCGACCTCTTTATCGGGTAGGCATTCTAGGCCGCGGGGCACCTCTGTGGTGCGGGTTGACTACCCGCCTGGCGTGGGCGGCCGTCAACCCCATCTGTTCTCAACTCAACCGAACACCAAAGGAGAGAGGTCGGGGGAGCCTGATGGACCTTAAAGGTTTAAAGCCGCGCAAGAGGGTCCAGGAAAAGTTGGGTCGTGTGTGCGTGTGTGTATGTGAAACTGCGAAGCCACTTCTCTCTCTTTTCTCTCTCGCTTTCTTTATTTCCGAACTCCATGAAAACGACCTGCCTCACTAGCCCTTGCTTCTTGTTCCACCCCCCCCCCTCCTCTTCTACCCTCAACCCCTTCCTCAACTCCCCCAACACATTTCGCCATACCTTGAAGAGGCGCGGGGCCGGAGCAGCGACGAGTCCCTTGACGCTCGTAGACACACACACACGCGCGCACTTGCGCGCGCCGGACGCTCCAATCCGAATTACCCGTAAGTACTTTCAGCGTAATTGCAGCATTACGCGGAGTGGTCCGTGTGTGTGTGCAATAACAGCCGGCCGGCTACACGCCCTAATGGGCCACAAGGAAAAAGGGGAAATTAAAAAAAAAGAATCCTTCCGTCTTGTGCGCGGATGTGGATGCTACCACCACCGTCCTTCTTCATTGGGGCGTTGCTGCAACTGTGATGGAGGCTCTTTCTGTTTAGTGTTATTGATATTTTCGTGCCTCAACGCTCCCCTGGACCCCAGCTTTTTAGGCAGCCGACTGTCTCATGCAGAAGGAAAAGTCGCCATCCTCCAATCCATATCTCCCTTTGCTCTCTATAGCACAGAGCGTTTGTATGTTTTCTTTCTTCATCAAACGATTTTCATTTTAGCCGGGGGGCTGCTGCCCTCTAAATCCCCGCATTGTTTTCCTAATTCGCAAATTTCTTTTTCAGTTCTAT